GGCACTCAGTGAGGGGGATAATTCAGGCTTTAGTTTTTTAGGTAATAAATACCATAAAACAAAACGTCTTATCGTTTAGAGATACCGAATTGGGAAAAAGAAAAAAAAATACTGGTGAGAGATTCTGATTACATACTCTGAGAGCACCTCGCGAGCCTACTCTCACGCCCAGGCTACCGAAGAAGGGTATTTCAGTGCTGTCAACATGAGTGTTGAAACCTACAGTGTGGAGATATGAGACCTATAGGAGAGTAAGAAGAACAAAAAACAACCCTGATAAAGATCCTCTCTGGATGTGTTGGTGATGATGAGGCCTGCCAGTAATTCTTCTTGTTTGTGGAGGTAAAGAAGTTTATTGGTGGTTGAGATCGTCGAAACAACCGCTCGCGGTTAAGAGTTGAACGCACGCAATGACAGCAGTGATGGAATAGGAGATATATAGGATGGAGAGAGCAAGCGATGATACATGAGCTATGCGGGGAGGGAGTGAAGTAGAGAAGGGAGGAGAGTAGAAAGAGTGGAAGGAAGATGAGACGAGGAAGGCGATGAGGGCAAGCCCAGGAGGCGTGGAAGGGAGAAAGGACAAAGTGGCCGGGAAGGAGATGGCGAAGTACGTAGAGGAGATATCTGGAGAGGAGGAGGGAAATAGGGGGGACGTGGAACAAGGGGGGCGGTAGTAACAAGAGAGGAAATGAGAAGGGGGAGGGGATAGAGCTAACGATAGGAAAGAGAGGGAAAGCGAGTTGGGAGGAAGCGGGCGAGGAAGGAAGAAGAGGACGAGTTGATCAAGAGCAGAAGATGAGAAGAAAGGAGGGAAAGTAGATGGGAAGGGAAAGATGAGTAGAAAGAGGACAGAGGAAAGGGGAGAGGAGCGGCAGTTCGAAGAAGGCGGTATAAGTGAACGGAGACGGGAGAGAGGAAGAACGAAGCGAAGGGAGAAGCACGAGAGAATAGGGACGCGCATGATCGAGAGGAGGAAGAGAGAGTGGAGGGAGCAGCAGATGAGAAGAAGGAGAGATATATGGAAAGGGGGATCGAACAGGAGAACGCCCGTGGCGGGTGCGATTGGATGCGTCTGCCGCAGGGCCCAGGCGCCTGTGCGCACTTACGGTTAACTATTCACACGGTCCATCGCTTTCCCAACAACCGCCGCACCGTCACATTGTACGCACCAGTCCACCACTGGCTCCTGTGCTGCGATGTGCGCTTCGGTATTAACGTAACCGACACCGGATCACCAAAGGAGTCGGGTGCCCCCCCCCCCCGGGATGCACCGTTGTCACACACAAGTCTGCTGCAATAATGGCGCTGGAAGTTAAAGGATGTATAGCGGGTCGCCCACTAATCGATTCCCAGCTCCTCCAGTCTGCATGTCAAAGTGTCCCTGGGCAAGACACTGAACCTCGGTGTGTGAGTGTGTGTATGGTAGAAAAAGTGCTATATGAATGTGTGTGTGAATGGGTGAATGTGGCTTGTAGTTTAAATATAAGTGCAGTCCATTTAACACATTAATCTGATTTAAAAACACAGATAATGATGTTGAAACAACTTTCAAACTATACTGGAAGAACACACACAGTTCTGAACTAGGGCTGGGCGATATAGCCTATAAGTAATATTGCGATATTTTTAGGCTCTATCAAAAATATCGCGATACACTATATTGCGATATTTTTGAAATCTCCTCCATAGAACTTCATAATTACATGAATTAACCCCATGATGCATAAAGAGACTCACTCTCATGCTTCACTGCTGCTTTGTATGATCTAGAGATTCAGCATCTTGCATCTATTTTTCAAACAAGCGGCTCCCAGCAATAATAGACAGGGAAACATTTGTCGATAGTGATACTGATATGATACAAGCAACATTATATGTAACTGACACCTTTCACTAGCCTATTGTTTCGATGTCTGTGTCGTATTCATATAACTATTTTTAACCACTTTAACAACTGCATGGAGAGACAGAGGAGACCACATGTACTAGATGGTCATAGCAGAAACCCAACGTTGGTTATAATTATATTATGTTAATAATTTAACAGGTGTTGGCCAGTATTTTACCAGTGCACTGTGTCTCTCTCTCTTTCGCTCTCACTCTGTGTGTTACCATTTCTAAACACGGATAAACTCGCTTTAGCACTTCACTTTTTCACATCGTCAGTTCCCTCCGCTCCCGATACAAACACACACGCCTCCCCACCTACGTCACACATAAAGCGTCTTAAAACAATTGTGTGACAATTTATACCTGATGTTCACAATATTCTCATTTGCTACATCCCATGTGGAACAAGACACGATACATAATTGATATATTGCCCACCCCTATTCTGAACGCTTCCACTGAAACCACAACAGAGACCTGACGGCACACCCAGAACACAGAGGAGCTGCATCCTCTAGACACATTCACACTTTCAGCTGATCAGTACAACCACAGTCTGATCTGGAGGTTGAAGGTTAAAAGAAAACGACAGTTAATTTCCACTTGTCAGTTCTGAAGTTTTACGGTTTCAAGTTTGTTATTTTCCCTGTGTCACACCTTCACCTTCAGTCATATGAGCCTCGATTGGAGTATGAGTTACATCACATGGAAAAGTGACGTCAGTGGAAACACTCCTCAGACAAATGTAGTTTTTAAACTACAGGATTAGATTAATCTGGTTAATCTGGTAACTGTTACTACACAGTCTACCAGTGGATTTTTCAGACGTTTCACACATACAAAAGTCCAACACCATCAACGTCTTCAAGGGAAGAGTGGGCATGTTTGAGCCTTTTTCAGTGAAGACATTTTGCCATCTCACATTAGGATATATATATAAGTAGTGACAATGTACAGATTGACTTTACAGCTGAGTGAGGCCGAGGCACAACACAATGGCAATGCATTCTCCTGCATTCACACCTGCATTAACATGTGTTTTTTTCTGATGCAGATAGTATATCCAGACAGATCACCACTACATGTCAGCTAACATTAACGTTATTTTTGGCTCCTCTCAGAATGAATATTCCTGTAAAACTAAAGCATATCTACTGAGGAGCGAGTAAAAGCAAGCAAACCTACAGCAGACTTTTAATTCAGGCTTCTGGCTGCGTGATGTGGTTCTTTGGCTTCACTCATTGATTCTGCCTCCAGAACAGTGCTCGGCTCAGAGAAATGTTTGGATAACTATAACTCCAGTCTGCAACTAATTAAACTTTTCCATGACTTCCCAGGCTGGTCATTAGTGCTTTTGACTGGATCCTGTGTTCAGGTGTGCTCCACACTACAAAAAACTGCCGTCATTCAAAAACCAGGAGACTAGCTTTTGCTCTGCTTTGAAGAAAAAAAAGAAATCCTGACTGTGAATTCCTCTCGCTACAAAAATCGATAATCTTGGCACAGAGACACTGAGGGTTTGGAAAATATGCACATTATTAATGCAAAAGAGCAGAGAGTGGGGTTTGCTGTGTGTTTGATAGCGTTAACAGCAAGAGGGTCAGCAGGTTCCAACAAGAGATGCACATTAAATAAGGAAACATCTGCATTCCACACAGCCTCTCTTGCAACACACTGGAGCTGAATGAACATCAAAGCGTGGCAGATCGCAGTAAATGCTGCTCCGAAACCCATGATTTATTAGCATTGCTTCCCTGGGATGTTCAACTGGCCCATTTCAGCTCGGAGGGTGGAGAGGCAGACAGTAGTTCATTCACACAGCTCACTGCGAGCACATCACTGCAGAGGGATTTGGAAAATGTTCCAGGGTTTTTGAGGTGAGTGTAAGGAACATTCCCAAGATTCTGAAAAATCACACGAATCCCGTCCTCTGTAATCTGACCCATATGTATGAAGCCGTTTCTCCGCCAAAAAAGATTTAAGCATAAAAATCCTTCTCGTATCTGCAAAGCACTACTTGTAAAAGTATAAGAAGGAGTGTAACAAGCAAGAAAATCTGTCTGTAAAATCATGATTTAGGAAAGTTGAATTGAGTTGTCAGCATAGAAATGAAGAGAATTGCATCAGTTCACTGGTTCAATGAGGGCATTCTGCTGGTTGATCGGAGAAGCTCCTACAATCACTGCTTGAATTTATGCAGCATTACACAACAGCCAGGAGCTATAGCAGCACCATCAGTGGGTGTAATTGTCATTCAGTTTTTGTCCATCACTTCTGTCGGTTTTGACAAAGCTGTCCTCATCCATGTCATTGTTGAGATCTCTCTCACTACAAGGTAAAGAAACATGAGCAGCGACAGATTCAAACAGGTTGGAAACAAACCAAAACTTTATCCTGATGATGAAACTATTCATCTGGAGGTCAAACTGAAAGTGGGTGCATCTGAAATGTCAGTAATACTCATGTCATTGAACAGGAAACATGTACAGTAGGTACAGTAAACTGATGTTTACACTTTAGTAATTTTACTTTTTTTTTTTTTATCTACCAGACAAGTTTGTGGTGTACCAATACAGTGACTGCCTAGCACAAGTGCTAATGCTAAAACTAGCGCAGCCATCGGTGAACTCTACAGGAACCATCAGCAAACGTCGACGGCTCATCCCGACGGCTTTGTCACTTCAACAAGGCGCACCTATAGACGTGCATGTATCACTGTCTGTTTTAGAAACTGCAGCACCGATGACGTGACCACACTGTAACGGATAGCGAGGACACCTGAGAGGTTACCCGGGGGGGGCTTTCTCCCATCCCATTGCATCTGCTGTGCAACTGCCATTTCTGCAGACTCCATCCGTGCTGACACCAGACTCAAAACAGTTTGGATGTATGCATGTTTGGATGTTTTGTATTGCATTGTCTTTCTCATTGTTTTTTGCTTCTGTCTTGGCACCTTATGTTGACAGTTCACAAATCATTATTTATACCTTGATAAATAGCTGTTCATCACATCCATCATGATGTAGGAGGCCTCAGCAAACACTGATATCAGTGTGACAATGATCCCATACCCTGAGCCATCCAGTCCGGCTCTCTGTGTCACTCACCCTGTACAGTCCCACAGTAGCTGGGCTGGTCAGCGTCCGGAGCGGAGCCGGTCTTGGAGGAGCGTCGGCGTCGCGACAGCCGGTGTTTTAGTCCAGAGAAGGATTGTGACGGGTCGTTTTCACCCAGCGGCTGAATGAACAGGCTATCCTCCCCGATCTGAACGAGCCCGGTCTGTGTGCACACAACAGAGACATATACAAGATGAAACTGTGACGAGCCCCCTGAGGAGACCGGTTTGAATATAGGAGAACAGAATTGTAATGGCTAGGTATTGTTGTGTTTTCTTTGTCACAAAAAAAGCAAATGATTAAACACAATAGAAATTCTTCCTATAGCCAGTTCATGAAAGCTTTTCCATCCCAATTACATAGTTTTACCGTAAACAATGAATGCTAAATTTAACAGTGCACCGTTTGGCACTGAAGAACCTAATGAACCATTTTGCACTGTAGGAATTATTACGAGACATTTTTTTTGTTTTCTCCACCTCTTTGGAACTGTTGCACCACATTTATGTAGAAATCTTAATCAGCTCTGAGACTAGCACCATTTCTGTTGTGCAATGTGGTGCATATGCAAGGCACAGGCAGAAGCACAACATCCTCAAAACACACTTAAAATGAGTTTGCAAGTGGGACTCAGTAACAGTGTCTGGTTGGTATTTTCTGAGAAAAATCCTCTGGCACATGAGTGAAACACCTTTGAGGTTAACATCACAGCTGAGCAAAGTATGACATAGTTGAATGGCAGCTTACACTGTGCAGCACCGTGCTGCGCAAACTCACAGCACGAAAGAATTGAATGAAAAAAAAAACGAGCCATGAACTGAACATCAGCAATCACGCAACACCAGTCCTCATATCACTAAGACTATATTTCACATACAACACATTAATCTTATGCTTCAGTGTGTGTGTGCGTGTGTGTGTGTTTCTCTTTTTTTCTCTTTGACATAGAGACATACTCCATCCATACGCATGTCAGTGAAGGCAGGGAACACCTCAGGATTAATGACACTACTAACTGACACGCCTGTGAAAATCACTCCATAGCACATTAACAAGCCATTCTGTTTTCTGGGAAAACACAAAATGGTTCCTGTGGAAATATCTAGACACCTTATAGTGCAGATGATCACCATGACCTGAGGTCATGAAAATATCAACATAAGCAGTGACGGGTCGACACTCATTCACAAAAATCATTTATGAAAGTAATTTTGGGTGAAAAACAACATACAGAAGAGGCTGACTGTGGATGCTTCTGTCAGCTGAAACCACCTGGGTTTATAACAAATATACTATGGACACACAAGCAGTAACACATAGGAGGATACACTTTATGTGTTCCAAATTCCTGTACTATTAAAGGTACTGGTTAGATGTGGGTAAATAGGCCTTTTTCACAGCAGACATTTGACTTGTCATAGCAGGAAAATCACAGACGTTACTAACATCAATAATGGTTCTTGTAGGTCCTGACAGGGTGACTGTCTTTGTAGGAGAATATTAACTGTAAATCAAAATACAGATTTATTTTTTACCTGACAGACATACACAGGCGGTGGCAGTACTTTTAACCCTGAGTAGTGTCTACAGGTATTCCTCTCATACTGCTTATAGCCCCAACAAGCCCCACTAATCAGTTGATTACTTATTTATATAAAACAATGATTCAATCTGCAGCAGTTACAATGAGTGAGGCTCAACAATCACAGTCTGATAGCACTTCCTTGGAAAATCCCTGCAGTGTACAAGAAGTTGTGTCTTTTAGCACACAGGTCGGAGTGTAATAAATAAAAGAGGAACCTGGAGAGCAGTAGTACCCAGCTTAACAACATACAAAACTTTAAACTTTATAAATGAAGGTTCTGTAGAAACAGATGACTCTATAATTATGCACCCAACTGTACAGTTTGGGTGCCTCCTCCGTTTGACACAATTACAATGTTTACAAGTGATCACATCAATCATCCCATTGCTGTGGGTGTCCAACCCCCTTTTCCTGTTGTAAACAGGAGAAACTTTTAAAGTAGGCCAAAAGAACAGGAGGGTGGTGGTCACAGTGCATGCTATAGGTGATCCGGCACAATCAGGAGTGTGTTCTTCTTCATGCTCCACACCTGGGGCCAGATGCATAAAACTATGTGTACACACAATTTACAGATATACATTCACATTCTTTTCATCAGAATTATAAAGCCGTGTGTTCTGTTTTGCTGTGTAAACAGCAAAAATTGCACAGATAATAATAACAGATAATAATGACTGCGAGCTCCGTAAAGTTTGTTTTATTTTATGTTAAATTACGTGTCTCGGCTTATTTTGTATTTTCACTTCACTGTAACTTGGATCACTCAGGAAAACCGCGTATACGCATGTTTCTAAATACCAAATTATGTGCTGAAAATGGCGTACGCTTGGTTTTTGTGTGTACGCATCATTCACGCATCTGGCCCCTGAGGCCTGTACTATGAAGCAGGATCTGAGGTTATCAAGATAACTTCAGGTTTAACTCTGGGTTTTCAGTCTTACGACGGTGGATCACTTGTTATTGGGGTAAATTACCATGGTAACTTACGCTGAACCTCTAACCTGCTCCGATGCAGGTTAACTTCAGAGGATCAGATCAAAACCTGTCAACAGCCGAACTACTGACCAATCAAATCACTGGGAAAATTGAGTCATCATTCCTACAGGATCCTGACAGGGACAAAAGAGTTTACAATAAAGTGATCAATAATAACGATTGGTAGACATTTATATAAATCAGTGGAATCGTTTTACTGTTCCAGAGCGGCATGTGTCCACTCTCTGTTTTATAACAGAGCTTGCATGGAGAGTTTATCACAATGAATAAATATATAACTATTATAGCTTCATTTTAATTGAACAGATATTCTTTAATCCGACAGGATTCCTGACAGAGATGAAGCTTTTACTGTCTTCTTCATCACTGCAGCTCAGAATAACATGAGGAGACTCTGAGACCACAACTGGAAATAAAACCGAAACCTCTGATGTCTTTGATTAGAACAATGATCCACACACTGTTTTTACCATGATTATAAATTTGATTTATGATTTTTAAACATTTCAGTCAGACTGACTCATCAGACATCAAGTACTTCTCTCCTCTCTGCAGCAGATCTGCAGCAGGAACAGTCTGATATTAACTTTGATTAACTTTATCTGCATCACATGTTCATAACAGTTTGTTCATCATCAGACTGAAGAGCAGAAATACTGAGTAAGAAACATAATGATAATTCATGCACATTTTTATTCCAGTCATGTGATCATATTATTCACATTTCACCTTGTTGAATGTCACTTTTCAACGTGGTTAACTGAACTTACCGGCAGGTATCAGTGTTCCTTCTCATATCATATTAAGAGCTTTATTCATGGCACTGTTGATGTTGGTTTATAATCAGCAACTCCGCCTCTTTCACAAGAACGTGCTGTTAGTCGGACAGGTAAACCTCGAGTTAACTGAGCCAGTTGATAACCAGCTTCGTAGTACAGGTTATCAGGACGGCCAATATTAGGTTTAGTTAACCCAGATAACTAAAAGTTATCCTGGGTTTGTTGAACTTGCTTCATAGCACCTCCCCCATGTTCCCTGTGTAGCACCAAACAGGACACGGGACGTGGAGCACCTAGCAGCTAATGAGACAGTTTTCCCCTCGGGAGATGGTGACGATTAAAATGGAGTGAATATTGGACATGGATTTATCAAGTGGTCAGAAACATGACTCCAGAGCTGAGGGGCCCTGGCTGCTAAAGCCTGGTCACCTTTAGTCTTCAGTCAGGACTTAGGATAAGCCAGCAGAGCCCTGCCTGAGGACCTGAGGGTGCACTCTGCCTCACAGAGGAGCAGCAATTCAGTTATGTAGCTCTGAGCTGAGCCATGACGTGCTTTAAAAGGCAGTCAGTAAAAACTGTAAATTCTAAAACTGACTGGAAACCAGTGAAGAGAGGGAAAAACAGAGGTGATGTGATCTTGTTTTCAGTTGGAGGTGTGCAATCGTTTTTTGGCCGAAGATAATGAATCTGAGTGAGTTGATATAAAAGCATGTATGACCATCTGAAGATCAATTTGATCAAGAAAATAATATAAAAACACAATTTAACTCAAATTTTTTAAAATGAAAAGTCACTTAAATATTATTTCTTATCAATGGTATGCCGATCTGATATTAGCTGGAGAAGGTTTTTTGATATCCAGCACTTTATTTCTTATCAATGGTTATGAAAAGGATTCTGACAGTTTGTTGATGTTGGAGAAATACAGAGACTTCTTTTACTGCAGTTTGATAAGCAGACATTAGACTTTTCAGGCTTCCTTCCATTTTCTGTTCTGCTTATCTGCATTTTCTCTTTATTTCTCTGGTGTTGTCATTTCAAGTTCGTTGCAAGTTGGTTTCACTCATGATTTATGCAGATTCTGTAGAGAGTAATAGAAACATCCTGTCTCAAAAGGAAGCTCAAAAACTCCTCCATGCATTTGGGCAACTGTAATTCTTTATTATCAGGGATGGCCCATTTAAAATGATCCAAAATGACATGAACTAGGAAAAGAGATCATATCTCTCCTGTATTGGCATCTTTGCATTGGCTCCAGAACAGAATTCAAAATCCTTCTCCGTACATACAAAGCTCTTAATGACCAAGCTCCATCATATCATAAAAAGCTCGTAGCTCCCTATTATCCGAACAGAACACTCTGGATGGATGGATGGATGGATGGACGGATGGACGGATAGACAGACAGACAGACAGACAGACAGACAGACAGACTGAGATGAGCCCTCAACCATCCCTTACTAATGCTGCTATAGGCTTAGACTGCTGGGGGAACTTCTCTGTCTCTGTCTGTCTGTCTTTGTGTCTCTGTCTGTCTGGGTCTCTCCATATGACTATATCAAACTGCTGTCATTAACGTTGTATCTTCTCTCCTGTAGTTTGTGCTTCTCTCTCTCTCTCTCTCTCTCTCTCTCTGTGTCCTCATTCTGCAGGTATCTCTGACTCTGGAGCAGCAGGATCTGGATCTTCCTCTCTCCTCTGCAACCTCCTTGCAGAATCTAAACAAGGACTACATTTAAGAGTGGGTAGGTTTCACTGTACTCTTGTTTTACAGGGGCCGTGTGCTCCATTTGTTTGTGTGTG